AACGTCAGGAAACCCTACAAGGACCCAGAGTCCTGGCGGATTTAGTTCGCTGCCTCCTCTGAATGACCTCCATGTTGTAAACTGGGCACTGACATCTCAGGTCACGCTCTATGAGCACCAGCCATGGCACCCCATATCCACAAACACTGGCAACTGGCATTTTCCAGCTTCTACAAACCCTCATGGGTCATCTCCAATTCCTGTAAGGGACCCTTCTGCTCTTCAATGCTATCCCTCAGGATGTCCCGGTAACTCTCATTGTAATGCTGCAGCAAGGACAGTGCGTGCTCAGTGGCACACACCCAGCTCATGGTATCTCTGGGCTCCTCACTCACTGTCACAGAGCTCACTCACTCTGGGCCTATCTGGATGCTCACAGCAGCCCTGCCTTGGTGAACTTTACTCCCTCATTCAGAGACACCAGGATCCTATTATTGACTTGTCATTTAGCACAGACACAAAGTCAGGAAGCATGTTATAGTTGTCAACAGGCCTTCAATCAGGGAGTCCTGAGACAGTAAACTAAGGACAGTGTCTGACATGGTCCAAGTTCATGCTATGTGTGCTCAGGGTCAGAATCCTTTCCATATAAAGGCGTTAGGAATGGAATGTTGGACAGCCCACAATCCATCCCAACTCATTCTGCCCAACTGTGGGCTGTTTTGCACCTGACATGGAATACAGGCAGGTATTTGGGTAGATCAAATGGGTGGCACAGCTGTAGTGCTGGTGCATGTGGTGAGGTGTCACAAGGGAATGAATGGGTAGTGCAGAGGGTATACAGGGTTAGCGATGATGGGGTTAGGGTGGGTGATAGCGAGTGAGGGAAGATGTTTCAGGTAATAGTGAGAGTGGTAGAGCATGAGCCTTGGTGGGAGGTGGGAACAGAAGCAGAAATAGGGTCAGTATGTGCTATCGAAGAGAAGATGGTGGTACTTAAGTTGGTAGGGTGGAGAAGGGCACAAACTTACTTCCTACAGTGCTGGGCATTCTTCCAGATGGCTGAGAATGTATTGTCCTGTGGGCAGCCTCAGAGCAGACTGGTATAGTCTGGTCTTGTGGCCTCCACTTGACAGCAAGAGTCCTGTGTTGGGACTATCCTGTCCAGCAGGATCTCCAGGTCCCTGCCTGCAATATGGGGAACTGCTTTCCTGCTGCGTGCTGTGTCCATGGCAAATGTCAGGAACTGGGCAAGGCAACTCCAGACTGGCAGGACTTGTCTGCATGCACAATAGGCTTTTAAGGATGGCAACAGCACAGAGGTGCCAGTGAATTGCAGGATATCCAGTGGGTGCCAAGTTGTTCCAGGAATGGTATGTGGCAAGCTGGCATGGAAATTGGATGTGAGCAACTCCATGGTAGGTAAGTAATGGGGCAAGTTTAGTAAAATAAGGCAAGAGAACAACCTAAACCTCACGACACAAAACTCTACAAACAAACTTAATGCAACTCAAACTTAGCCAAAGAACCATAACATTCAGCCTTTGATTTTCTACCTGCACAATAAGACTACAGTCAAACGTTAGTTTCCTTCTGTACAAACTAACTGTTTGCTTTTGGATACAAAAGCACTTCATGTCCATATGTTGCAGGAATTTTACAACCTCCTGATAAGTGGTAAGTATTATTCACACCACACAAGTGTCAGGCAATGACCATCTCCAGCAAAAGAGAACTTAATCATTGTTCCTTGACATTAAATGGCATTACCATCACTGAATCTCCGATTATCAACAATCTGGGCTTCGGCATTAGTTAGAAACCGAACCATACCAACTATATAAATACTGTGGCCACAAGTCCATGTCAGGGGCTGGTCATCCTGTGAGTGATTATGTTCTGCCTCTCCAAAGCATCTCCTCCAACTACAAGCCATGAGTGCGATGAAATACTCTCCACTCACGTGGAAGAACACAGCTCCAACAATATTCAAGAAGCTTGACACCATCAAGGACAAAGCAGCCCACCTTATCCACCACCTTCGACATTCATCCCCTCCACCAGCAATGCTCAGTGGCAGCTCTGTGTGCCATCTAGAAGATAAACTGCAGAAATTCACCTAACCTCCTTTGACAGCACGTTCCAAACCCATTGTGCTCTACCATCTAGAACGACAAGGACGACAGATACATGGGAATACCACCACTGTCAAGTTCCCCTCCAAGCCATCCTGACTTGGAAATATATCTCAACTCCTTCAGTGTCGCTGGATCAACATGCAGCATCTCCCTCCCTAACAGCAATGTGGGACATGGACTGCAGCGGTTCAAGACAGCAGCTCACCACCACCTTCTCGAGGAGCAATGAGTGGAGGACAATAAACACTGGTTAAGCCACAGACATTCACATTACAAGAGTACATTTTTTTCCTCTTTTTCTTCCTCTGCTCATGTGACTGGAAAACATATAAAGTATCATGAAGACTTAAAGAAAAAGAGAAATCCACTTGGCAGTCTGGACCCACAACCAATTAAAAGGTCTGATCCAATAACTTGTAGTTGACTTGATTTCATAAGCAGTTTGTGACCGAATCCAATTACCAGCAGTTGGCTTTCTTCTTTCACTAGTTGATCGTTGTTCCTATAACTGAGTGATAGCTGTGGGCACATGACTGGGGATTATTCACAGACAAACACAAATTAGAAAAGAAATACTGTGATCTGAAAACAGTTTCCATTTGAGTAGTTATCAAATTTATTCAAAGAGGTTAAAAGTATGCAGTGCTACGCTCCGAATGCTGCAGATTAGCATACCTCTGCCCCCTAGACACCAAGCCATCCTGGACTGATTGGTTTCAAGACTCCTCTCATCTCTGTCAACTGTGAAATAACTTTAGGGCACTCACAACCCAGTTTCAATGATTAGAATATGACACAAAATATGAGTTTCTCTCAGGGCAGTCACAAGAAAGGCTGCTGTTGAAAAAGAAGGGGGAAAAAAAAAGCCCTTGATGTGGTGATTATTCTGCATGAAATGAAGGCACATTGGCCAAGCGGTGGCTTTACACTGTACTCTACACATCCTGCTGTGAGAGAGCGAGGCGTGTTCATTATGCAGACAAAACAAGAGAAAGTTATTGTCCACATCATGAGGCCCTTTATCAAACTGCTTATAAAATGTCATCTATACATCAAGCTCATTATCCTCATCAATCTTCCGCATTTCTTAATCAAACAACCAGCTTCATCAGGCATGAGGAACAATAAATCCACGTTGACTGTCACAAAAGCAATGTTTTCCAAGTGACAAATAATAACTTTGCCGATCAGTTGAGTACCTTGGTGATTTTCCCACTGCAATGTGCTTTTTTAAAAGTCCCATCATGATAGTGACTAAATGATTCATTAACCTTATTATTTTATCATTGCTTTAATCCCGCCAAAGATAGGTTGAATGACTTAGTCAAAAACCACTTGTGGCCCAAACTGCAAGCTTAAAATGTACATACAGGATGGAATGTTGACAGCAGAGGGTCTCCATTCAACGCAGTATTTCTCTTAACATCGACACAGAGAAAACAGGAGCAGCGATAGATCATTCAGCCCATCAGACCTCTCTACAATTCAATATGATCATGAGTCGTAGCCTGTTCCTGCTTTCTCCCCCTATCCTTTGATCCCTTTAGCTCCAAGAACTGTACCTAACTACTTCTTGAAAATATTCAATGTTAGATCTTTGTTAGAGTAATCCAAAATTAATCATAGTGCCCCCTCTCTCTCCACAGCCCTGCTTTATAAAAATCATTCTCGGGACATGGGCGTCGCTGGCAGAATTGGTACGATTGCTGTTCCCTAGTTGCCCTTAATAAGCCAGAGGTGAGCCACCTTCTTGAATAGCTGCAGTTGATGTGGTGAAAGTAGATATTGGGTTGACAGTTCCCAAATTTTGACTCAGTGGTGATGATGGAGTGATGATACTGTTTCAAGTCAGGATAGCGGTGACTTGGAGCTGTGGTGTTCCCCTGCATCTGCTGGCCTTGCCCCTTCGATATAACTGTTGTCACAGATTAGAGAGATAGGGCCAGAGAAGTTTTACTGATATGCTGGATTGTATCCGCAGCAACAGTGTGCTGAGCGAAGAAGTGAATACTTAATATGTTCAAGGCTGTTCAAATTAATCAGGTTGCTTTCTCCAGGATAATATTGAGTTCATCAAATGTTCCTGCAGCTACACCAAATTGGGCAAGTGGACAGTGTTCCAGCACAGTCTCAGTCTGGATAGGCTAAAGGGAGTCAGAAGGCAGTCATGAACAAAATCCCTCTTAAATCTTTCACTGCTTCTAGGATATTTATCCAGACTTCCCTGAAAAGATGTAATGATCTTTGCTCCATTATCTGGTAAAGAATTCTATACTCCAACAGCGCTTTGCGTAAATAGATTTCCCACAGTCTCTTCTCACACTCTCTTAGCAGCCATTTTTATATATAGCTCTCATCATTGGCTCCTTCTTTCAAAAAAAAGCCTTTCCCGATTCACTGATTCTAAAGTCTTCACAATTTTAAAACCCTCTAGAAAATCTCCTCTTCAGCTTTCCAACTCCAGTACAAATACTTTCCTCATATAATGGAGTTTCCTCTTGTGAGTAACATACTGCATTGTAAGCTCACTCTGACTTCAATGTCCTCTCAATAAAGAGGTATGAGACATTGCACACAATTTGAACCGTGAGCTAACACATGTTATTAGTGGCTTTCGGCCTGAAATGTTGATTTCCCTGTTCCTTGGACGCTGTCTGACCCGCTGTGCTTTTCCAGCTGCACATTTATTGACTCTAGCTTCCAGCATCTGCAGTCCTTACTGTCTCCAAATGTTTTCAGTAGGTTTGGCAATGTTTCTTTATTTTTGCATATCCTTCTGCAAATATGTTTCTAGTGATTTCATCAAAAATTATTTCAATGGGCTTTAGCAAGTTTTCAAATCGATAAATCAATGAACTCTAAAAGCACAGAGAATGATGCCCTTTACAACATAATACACAGATTGTATAAAAGCCTTTGTACCTTCTCATAATAACGCAGTTCGTAGTCAAGGATGATCCCATTTGGTTGATCAGGTTGTGGCCAGGACAACGTGATGCTGCTCATTGTGGAGCTCACCTGGTGCATAATGGGAACCGTAGAGGGAGCTGAAAAAAAGTGGAAGTGAAAAGAATCAAAACAAAGCTGGTGTTTCCTTTCAAAGAGAAACAACATCTTGAACAACATCATTCTCGTCATCACTTTCTAAAGCCATTGTTGCAAAATAATCAACGTTTTTGGCTTTTGCAATGAGGTTTCTTGAAGGTACAAAGCTAAACTAATCTCATGCTGACAACGTGATTCACTGCTGGAAGGTTTTGGTTTCAAATCTGCAGAATGGTCAGGAGTTACCCTGACAGGATCAGTAAAGATCAAAAACTAATGCACATTGGCCAGCTGGAATTCTAAAGTGTTGAGAGAAGGAGGAAAGGAGAGTCATTTCTTTTCACCTGCATTTCAGTTCACACAAACAATAACAAACTGCTTCATGTGGTCCAATTTGTCCCCCTGCAAAACAGTGCAGTGTCACCATAGGGGGCTCACTTTGGACCACAACCAAATTGGTTTAGATTTTGTTTTCAAATAAGGAAACTTCCAAATGCATTTCTGTTCATGTAAGTTGAATCAATAAACTCAAAAAAAAATGTTATTCCAGATTGAAAACACATTTCAATTCAATTCACTGCCCGCTATAAAGTGCAAATCAACTTAAAAGCAGAAGTTGGCCATTCAGCCCATTGAGTCTGATCCACCATTCAATGCGATCATGACTGATCTGATCATGCTCACCTTCACTTTCCTGCTATTTCCCCACAACTGTTGTTTCCCTTACTGATTAAAAATCTGATTAGTTCAGCCTAGATTGTGCTTAATGATCCAGCTTCTTTACCCTCTATTTTCACTTTCAAAATAATTATCCTCAGTGATGTGCCGCTCCATGCCATCACTGGAAAGGTTGCTTCCAAGGTCTAGAAGCCCTTACACTACAGTTTGGAAGATTCACCTCCACCTTGCTGCAAAATCAGTATAAGAGGAGTTGGAAAACCAGTACAGGTCAGTTAGCATCTGTGTTAAGAGAGAGATAACCAGCCTTGTCAGAATTGAAAAATGAGACATATAGGCATATTCATCTGAAGCAGGTGACGGAGATCTATGAAACACAAGCAAACAAATACAGGAATTGCTCTGTCTGCAAAGAATAACACAGGTTATTTCAAACCAAGTTGTATGTTCTATTTATTGGATAGTTGAAGTGTTCAGTGGCATCAATTCACTGAGGGCTTCCTCTCTGTATTACTTTGCTTTCTGTAAACTATGGGTTCTGTCTCAAAGAACAAGAACAAAGAACAATACAGAACAGGAACAGGCCATTTGGCCCTCCAAGCCTGCGCCAACACATTTTGCCTTTCCATACTAAAACTGTCTTCACTTACAGGATCCGTATCCCTCTATTCCCCTCTATTCATGTGTTTGTCCAGGTGTTTCTTGAAAGCTGCCATTGTGTATGCTTCCACCACCTCCTCTGGCAGCGCGTTCCAGGCACTCACCATCATTTTTGTGAAAAACGTCCTTTGCACATCTCTTTTAAGCTACCTCTCTTGCACCTTAAACCTGTGTCCCCTAGTAATTCACCCCTTCACCCTGGGAAAAAGCCTCATATTTCCCTCTCTATCAATGCCATTCACAATCTTATAAACATCTATTAGGTCACCCCTCAACTTCCTGCTTTCCAGTGAAAACAAGCCCAGTCTATTCAACTTCTCATCATAGCTAAAATTCCCCCATACCAGGCAACATCCTGGTAAACCCTTTCTGTACCCTCTCCAAAGCATCCACATCCTTCTGGTAATGTTGTGGCCAGAACGGTACACAATATTCCAAGTGTGGCCTAACTAAAGTTCTATGAAGCTGCAGCATAACTTGTCCATCCTTATACTCAATGCCTCTTCCAATGAAGGCAAGCATGCCATAGATCTTTTTTACTACCTTATCTACCTGCACTGTCACCTTCAGTGATATACGGACGTGCACACCCAGATCCCTCTGCATATCAATACTCCTAAGGGTTCTGCCATTCACTGTGTAATTTCTACCTGTACTTGACCTTCCAAAGTGCATCACCTCACATTTGTCTGGATTAAACTCCACCTGCCATTTTTCTGTATCCTCTGGCAATCCTCCTCACTATCTGCAACTCCATCAATTTTTGTATCGTCCGCAGATGTACTAATTAGACCAGCTACATTTTCCTCCAAATCATTTATGTAGATCACGAACAGCAGAGGTCCCAGCACTGATCCCTGTGGAATACCACTAGTCACAGCCCTCCATTCAAAAAGCATCCTTCCACCGCTACCCTCTGTCTCCTGTGACTAAGCCAATTCTGTATCCATCTTGCCAGCTCACCCCTGATACCATGTGACTTCACTTTTTGTGCCAGTCTGCCATGAGGGATTCATTACTTGTTTCAAATGCATGTCCATTTTTTACAGTCCATTTCTGATAAACTCCCAATATTGACCTGTTGGCTTCACCATTTTTTTTGACCTGCTGCATGTCTAGAGTTTTTTTTTTGCAGTTTTATTTCAGAGTTGCACAGTTTAATCATGTTATTTTTGTCTCCATCTCATCAGAGATCCCTCGCTCCTTTTCCCTCTTTGACACATGTTAAACACAGGCATTCAAATTTGTTAATTTTTCTCAGCTTGCGACGTTAGTGCTGGTGTCAGATTTTGCGATGTTGTGACACACGCACATTCTGGCCTCATCAAAATAATAAGTAGAATTTAAACAGCTAATATTATGAGGACTGAATTTATGCAAATTCTGTCTCCACTGGATTCTTTCCAGCAACAGTTATAAGTATCATGCACTAATCCAGGGAGGAGAGCTTCCTGCTCCAAATTCAGAAATGGCAAGAGCTGCCAGTAGTCTGAACCATTCTTGTTTTCGCTAGTAGCAAACATAATCTGTTTTAGTCTCATTCTGTATATCTCTCCATCTGTTTGATTCTGACTCCTACCTGGCCCCAGTTTTGTGGTCATATATGGAGGCCAAACCTTCAACTACCAAGGCCTCAAGCTCTACAATTGCCTCCTACAAGTCTCCACCACACCTCTTCATAGAATCCCTACAGTATGGAAGTAGGCCATTTGGCCCACTGACCCTCTCGACAGCATCCCATGCAGACACAGTCCCCTATCCCATCCCTGTAATCCTGCATTTTCCATGACTAATCCACCTGACCTGCGCATCGTTGGACATTGTGGGAAATTTAGCACAGCCAACCGGTACATCTTTTGAGTGTGGGAGGAAACCAGAGCATATGGAGGAAACCCATACAGACACGGGGAGAATGTGCAAACTCCACACAGACAGTCACCTGAGGGTGGAATCGAACCAGAGTCTTTGGTGCTGTGAGGGAGCAGTGCTAACCACTGATCCACTGTGCCACTCTTTTCCCACTCCATTCCTCAAACCTAACTGTTTGATCAAACCTTTGGTTTCCTGTCCTAAAATCTGTTTACATGGATCCTGTGAAGACCCTCGAAGGATTTTCACAACAATTAGTCACTCACACTGAGGCTGAGTCTTCAAATCTAGATTTATTAATTGCATTCAAACTCCACCAGCTATCATGATGGGACTTGAACCTGTGTCCTCCAGATTTCCTCGGACTCTGCATTACTAATTCAGTGACAGTACCAGGAGGACAGCATTTCCCTCAAAATCCCTAAACTCTATTCTTAATTACATAAACTCCAAGCAGCCACATTTCACCCACATTAGTTGCTAACGGTGGCACTAAATACACATCCAGTCTTGAAATGAGGGGTCGGCTTTCCCAAGTGACATCAGGAAACACACTTTCCACATTTGTGCCAATCTGGAATTCTCTCCCTCAAAGGCTGTAGATGCTGGTGGAGCAATTGAAATTTTCAAGATGGATGTCAATAAAAATTTTAGGCAAGTACCAAGGGGTGCCTACGGCCATACTAGTCTGAAAACGCCTGGTCTCGTCTGATTTTGGTTACGGATTAAATGATAGTCTGATTCAAATCGCCCATGATCTCATGATTGCCTGAACATGTTATAGAATGACTGCCACTGAAGCATCTGGATCTTCAAACAACTTTTCAAAGCTGTTCTGTCACCCAGCGAACGTAAAGCAACTGTCTACACTGACGCTCATGTGGGTCACAAGTTTCCGAAATCAAGTCTTTTTACTCTCATCTCTCCCGAGTGGAGGTGATAGAAAAGGGGAAGAATTACATGATGGAATGGCTCCAAAAGCTCAACTTTGCACATAATCTTCTCACCGCTTAAATGGACCGTCACTGGACCGTGCAGCACACAAGCCCAAACTTCATCAATGTGGGCCTAGTAACAAGGTTTATCCAAAGCATCTTTCTCTCTGTAGATCTTCAGCTGCATGGAACTGAGGACAGAGATCCAATAGCTGGGGTGCCACTGGTATCACCATTCACACACATTCCACATGGTCAAAAATTGCTGCTTTCAAATATCAAGACCTGACTGACAATCTAATACTCAAAGCACCGTTCACCTCAGTCATACATGATCAGTCATGATCTTATGAGGCAGTTCAAGAGAGATTTACCCATCTGATTCCTGTAATAAAGGGGTTGACTTATCACGAATGGCTAAACACATTAGGTCTTTATTCATTAGAGTTGAGAAGAATGAGGGGTGATCTTACTTAAGGTGTGAAAGAGAGGACAGAAATTGCTGGAGAAAATCAGCAGGTCTCACACATCTATGGAGAGAGAAACATTAATGTTTCAAGTCCAGTGATCCTTCTTGAGAGAGGTCGAGATTGTGCATATGATGATGCATGGCACTGAGTGAGGATCTCAGGATGTGGCAAAAACAGCTGTTAGAGGAGTGTTGTACATCACGGAAATACCTGGGATCCTAGGTGGATTCGAAACACGAAGGATGAAACTTCAATTGGAAAACACATTGGGTGGGTCCGAACCAAAGGCAGTCATTAAGCAATGAGCTGTGGCTGTGGAAGTGAGATTTGCCAAATACCTTGTCAAAGGGGTGGGACAGTGGCTCAATGGTTAGCACTGCTGCCTCAAAG